TAGCAGGCACCCCTCTCAGGCTCAGACGAGGTCAGCATCATTTGCTCTCCTGAATGTATGAGGTTTATTTATTTTTCCTCCTTCCTATTCCTATTAAAGAAGCTGGTCCCAGTGTTCGTGCTTAAGCCTGGTCTCTATTCTACAGGTAGGAAATGGGGATCAGGGGAGTGGAATGCCCCTGAAATGAAGTGGGCTGGGGAAAAAAATATCTTGGGAGCTGAACCCAGGGCGAGGTCCCTTCCAGAGCCCAGTGAAATGGCCCTGCTTCTGGGCTTGAAGAGGACTCACTTCCCCTTCTGCTGGCCCTGATGCCACAACCACTGGAAAATTATGTCACCCCCTCTTTGCCCCCACACAGATGTGGCCCTTCATTGTCTCCACTGTCTCAGGGCTGGAGTGGAAGAGCTGAGTGGAAAGATGTCCCCTATTTTGGGGGAAAAGACAGATTTTTAGGCCAGCTACGCCCCTTTAGGAAGACAGAATGTCTGGATGCTCAGGCCCCTGGGGCAGCTATGGTTGGCCTCAAAACTTGCTTTAGAGGGCCTGTGGGCAGCCACTCACTGTACTGATGGCATGATCCCAAATCCCAAATGGGGACAGGCACTGGCTTAGGAGAGCCAGAGGAGGGTTGATTCCAGGAAGAGGTTGTTTTCTTATTAGAGAGTTACAGCAGATGCCATTAGCTGGGAACACCTGTTTCTTTGGAAAGTAAATAGGTCCACCTGCCCCCACTCTGCCATTTCATCGCTCTGGGAGTCTGACCTCTGGGATTCTACTAGGCTCTGGCTGTAGTGTGAGGCTAGGGGGCCTGATCATTTACTGGACTAAGGCCTTGCATTGATCAGCCTGCTCCCTACATCACTACAGACTGGACACACCGGGGCAGAACACCTAAACCCAGGGCAATGCCCTGTCTTCAACCCTTCTGCTGGGCACTGGACTGTAAAGGTGAAGATTCAGGCCTAGAGGAACTCACTGACCCAGGCACCTGCACATAAGCCAGAGCCAGAGCCCAGTGGAGCTCACTGGGCAGCCCCCAGCTTTTGCTGATGACTGTTTAAGAGAAGGAAAAGCTGCCTTACCCTCGCCCCTGGGCTGGGCCACGCAGTATCTGGGCTCCCCATCTGGAGCTGGGTAGCCCAGGAATGGGGAAGGCAATGCAATCCTGCCCCTCGAGAGGCTTCTGCACAGCAGACTGGGGCCTTCCCATGTGGCCAGGCCTGGATACCCACACCCCTGCTTTCCTCCCAGAAAGGCAAGGTGTCCCTCGGGCAAATACCATCTCTGGGCCCTCGGGATGAATTAGTCTCTGGCTGCAGGGGATGTACAGAGGAAGAGTTGATGTCCTCCCTTTGGGCACTGGGGCAGGTGAAGAACACCTGAGTTCCAACCCTGCTGTCAAAGTATGGAACAGGGGCAATGTTCCCTTTCCACCCGTCATGCCTCAGTTTCATCTTTTGCACAAAGAGAAGGGTCCTTACCCCTTTCCCAGTCCCTTTGCTGACTCAGACTCCAGTCCCCTGCTGACTCACCCGCCCCCTGCATCCCCTGAGCAGCCCTCTGGATCTCCCAGACACGTGCCACCAGGCCCAACCCTGCCGAGCTTGTGCAACGTGACATGGTGAGGGGGCTGGTGACACTGGAGGAAAGAAGGGGCCCGGGAGGGAGGCAGTTGCAGACAGAGTGACAGACCACAATGAGGCATCTCGGGGAGGGAGCACTTTTGCCAGCCTGGGGCCTGCTGGGGGACAGGCCCAGCAGGTGGAATGGGAGGGGAGGGGAGCAGGATGAGCCTATCTGCCCCCTGCTGCTTGGGCTCCATCTCCTGTCAGCCTTCAGCTCTTTAAGCGACAGCTTCTAATTCCGGCTGTTGGTGGCTCTGTGCTCTGCAGCAAAGTCTCAGCTTTTTTTCAGCTTTGCTGTTTCTTTTCTGTTCAGAACATACTGAGCCCATAGGGAAGTCAGAGCAAAGGCTCCAGGGTCCAACACTTGGCACCACCCCACTTCCTACCATGGGAACCAACTGCTCCTTCTAAAGGGTACCCAGCACAGCACTTTCTGACCCAAGTCTTCCTCCCTGGAACTGTCTCAATCCACCATGGGGGAACAGGGACAGAAATGAAGCTGAGTTGTCTCAGGGAGGAGGGGCTCTTCAGGACCAAGAAAGTGCCCATTCTGGGTTTCTGCTGCTTCTCTCCTCCACTTGGAGGGTGCAAGGCTTGGCTTGTCACACAGTTTCCAGATGTCCTCCCTACCCTGACCTTGGAAATAGAAGGGAAGAAAGCAATTTTCCTCACACCGCTGAAAAGAGAAATTGAGTCATAAAGGGAAGAAAAGCCTTCTGCTGAGTAAAGAGGGAGAGCATTCCTGTCCAATTACCGGGGGTGGACAGTCTCTGCCCATTCCTGGGGCCACCCCAGAAGGGGGCCCTAGCTCTGGGGGTGGGAGCAGCTTTGAGGACTGCACTCGAAATAACTATGCAGCTCTAGAACAAAACAAAACAAAACAAAAAAATGAAATAACTGTGCAACTCTTTCCCTGACACTCTCTGACTTGATCCTGTGTGAAGCAGGCAGGGCTGGTATTTATCAGTCTCATTTTGCAGTTGAGAATATGCAGGCTGGGAGGCACACTGCTAGTAAATGCCTTCAAGATGGGACTTAACTCTGAGGTCCGATCTGTGGCCTTTCTATGACACCAGGGAAGAAAACTGGCAGAGCCCTGACCAAGGGCTTCACAGCGGGTGCAGTTACACATCACATGCTCCTCACATGACAGAGGGGAGTGGGAGTCTCTGCTCCAGGTCCTGGGAGCCAAATTTCAAGGTAGACATCCCTGGAGCCTGGCAACTGGAGAGAGGCAAGGAGCTCAGGGTGCAGCGCCATAAGCCCACGTTACCACGCCCATCTGTGCCCAGTACCTTTCCCCAGATATCTCCTGCTGCAAAGCATCTGCCCAGGCCAAGAACACCATCATTCTTCCCTTATTTTCCATCTCTGATAGGAAGGGACCCCCTCTAGAAGCCCTCAGCAGCGTCCCCTGAAGGTTTATCCTGCTTCCAAGCCTTTGCCTCCAGAACCCGTCTGAAATTCCTTCTTTCTTCAGCAGCCAGAGCCCGCACATCCTTGAAGTCCTATCTTTAAAAGGCTCCAGAGCCCTCTCCTCCCCACAACTCCATCTTTTCATCAAAGGACTGTGTTGGTCTGTATTTAGCAGATGTATTCATCCCTCAGGTGACAACCTCCACTTTTTATGTGCTAGTGTTGTCTTCTTAGGAGGGGAGTGTCTTCCATCTAGAATCGAGTTTATGCCTCTCTATTTCCCGCTTCTGGCAACAAAAGGCTCATGAAAAGTCTCGGTAAATTCTGCAGCTCATACCTGCCTCACTCCTTACTTTACAAATATCCATTCCAACCCTACTCACTCCCTCCCCACCACCCACACCCAGGCCTGTGTATCATCTCCCCTCCTCCAGGACTGAGTGGGGCCTGCTGGCAGGAGGGAGAGGAGATGCGGTGTTTCCTCCACGCATCTTATGGAAAATGGAACTCGAGCTCGCCTCCTCTCCTTAGGGGTCTGCCAGTGGTCAGGGCCAGAACCCTGTGGCCTGGGGGTGGCTTTCTGCTCAAGGGAGAAGCAAGGGGCAGGGAGCTTGCATGGATCCCTAGCTCTTTCCAGGGTTGGCAGGGCCAGGGAACTCCTAACATGCCCGCGGCATTCCCGGGTCCTAAGGTGCCCCTTTCTGGTCTCAGTGTCTGCACTCTGTCCGCTCAGCAGCCGCCGGGAGCTGGCAAGCGGGCGCGTTGTTGGGGTTGGAGACGTCTGAGAATGGAGCGCACACTCGGCTCCCACCCCTCGCTCCGAGGGAGCGTGTGGGGAGGATCAATTGTGTGTGAGTGCGTGATTCGCTGCACTTCGAGTGGCAGTTCCCAGCCAGGCTGAGGGCCCCCAACCCGCGGCACGTATACCTCCTCCCCCAAATTACTCCTCAACCGCCTTTCGCTGCTACCCCTAGCTCGCACGTGGTCCTGTTCTGCGCTCATGCAGTCCCACTTCCTTTCACCCTGGACCGTTGTGGGCAGCTCTCAGTCTTCCCCGACGAGCCCGAGGTCCCGCCAGTTTCTAAGGAGCGGAGGGCAACGACTCGGATGGGGGCGGAGGGCGGGGAGAGAAGACTGCGACTTTGGGATTGGCCAGGTCGGGTGCATGTGGCCCCCTGCGAGCAGCCCCCGCCCCCGCCCCGCAACCGCCGCCGCATTCCCAGGGGAGCGCGGAGGAGGAGCCGCTCCCCGACTTCGTGGCCCACGAAGGGGTGGGGGTCAGGGGCGGTCTCCCCCGCCCCGTCCGTCTCTGCCCTGACGGTGCAGCCCGCTTCCAGGGCAGCCATTGCCATGGAGACCCCCGAGACTATAAAGCCAGGTATCTAGGCGGGCGGCGGCTCCCGCGCCGCTGCTGAGCCCCCCAAGGAAGAAGCAAGCGCCCCGGCGTGGCCCGGCCCCCGCGAGAGGGGAGGAGGCGGAGGAACGGCGCCAGCAGCTTGAGAAGCGGCGCGCCCCTCCAGGGCTGGAGGCAGGCGTGCACCGCGGGCGCCACCGTCGCTGCGGGGGAGCGGGGGCTGCCCTGGGTGCTGGTGAGTGGCTCGGCTCCAATCCACGAGGACTGAGGGGCGCCGGACACTGGGAAAGCGGCGGGAGACTCGGGAGAGGGTCGAGCCTCGGCTCCCGACGTCTAGTGGCGGGCCAGGAGTGGAGCCCGGAGTAGCGAGCAATCAACACCTCCAGGCGGGAGCCCCAGGGAAGCAGCGGCGAGACGCCAGGCGTGCGGCCCAGGAGCGGCGGGGCCGCCGGAACCTCCGGGCGACCGGAGTAGGAACCTCAGGACCCTCGGCTGTCACCGCCCACGCGCGGAGGGAGAGGTACAGGAGCGCGGGCGGAGGCCGGAGCCATACAGGGCGCGAGAACAGGGGCGCCCCCGTGCGGAGCTGCCAGGCTGCCCGGGCGCGGCGACAGGGGCCATGCTCAAGCCCAAGGACCTGTGCCCCCGAGCGGGGACGCGCACCTTCCTGGAGGCCATGCAAGCGGGCAAAGTGCACTTGGCCCGCTTCGTGTTGGATGCGCTGGACCGCAGCATCATCGACTGCCGCGCGGAGCAGGGCCGCACGCCGCTCATGGTGGCCGTGGGGCTGCCGGACCCGGCGCTGCGTGCGCGCTTCGTGCGACTGCTGCTCGAGCAGGGTGCGGCAGTGAACCTGCGGGACGAGCGCGGCCGCACCGCACTCAGCCTGGCGTGCGAGCGAGGCCACCTGGACGCCGTGCAGCTGCTGGTTCAGTTCAGCGGTGACCCCGAGGCGGCCGACTCGGCGGGCAACAGCCCGGTGATGTGGGCGGCGGCCTGCGGCCACGGGGCGGTGCTCGAGTTCCTGGTACGCTCCTTCCGCCGCCTGGGCCTGCGCCTCGACCGCACCAACCGTGCGGGGCTCACCGCGCTGCAGCTGGCTGCCTCCCGCGGCCACGGGACCTGTGTGCAGGCCCTCACGGGGCCCTGGGGCCGCGCCGCCGCCGCCGCCGCGGCCCGGGGCTCCAACTCCGACAGTCCGCCTGGCCGCCCGGCCCCTGCGCCCAGCCCAGAGCGTCGACGACCCAGCCCCCGCCGCCTACCGCGGCCTCTCCTGGCGCGCTTTGCGCGAGCGGCGGGCGGCCACAGCCACGGCGGCGAGGCTGGCTTAGCGGGCAAGAATTCCGGCCGATACCGGGCGCAGGGCAGTGAACGACCTGAGCTGGGTCGGAGCATGAGCCTGGCGCTGGGTGCGGTGACCGAGGAGGAGGCTGCCCGCCTGCGTGCTGGGGCCCTGATGGCCCGACCAAACTCGCCCCAGTCTTCGGGGACTGGGCGGTGGCGCTCACAGGAGGTGCTGGAGGGAGTGCCCCCAACCTTAGTGCAAGCCCCCATTGGCCTCAGCCCCCACCCGGAGGGCGACCCGGCCTCTGGCCGCTTGGGTTTGCGCCGACGCTCTACAGCCCCAGATATCCCCAGCCTGGTCGGGGAGGCTCCAGGGCCCGAGAGTGGTCCAGAGGTAGAGGCCAACGCTCTGCCTGTCTCGGTGCCTGGGCCGAACCCATGGCAGGCGGGCACCGAGGCTGTGGCGCTGCGTGCTCAGCGGTAAGCGGCTCCGAGCCTCAGGCCTGCTCCTCTCACCCTCCCGTCTGTACCCCACTGGTATTTCTCCACTCTAGGTCCCTCACCTTTTCGGCAGCCGCCCCACTTCCCTGCAGCCCGTTTTGGAACCTGTCTCCCTACCAGGGCGAGACCTTCACCAGCCCTCCACCAGAAGTAAGGGACCTCCATCTTCTTTTTTGTGCTCCTGGGTATTCCTTGCCTGGATCTAGAGGTTTTGATGACTGGTTCCATAGCATGCCAGCCAGCAAGGTGGATACCCTTCCCCAGCCCTCAGCCACCCGCTGCTCCTTTCCGCCCACCCTCCCCTCGCTGGGCTTCCCGACACCCGGCCAGCGAGGCAAATAGACGGGTCCAACTTGAAGAATAAAGACCCAGCCTCCCCACTCTAACTAGTGATGTTGACAATAATGCCACAAACTACCAAAGTTCCCTTTCCCTCGAAGTGTGACAGGAGGAAAGGGCCGAGGGGGCCGTAGAGTCTTTGTGTACTGGAGAGCTGAGGAGGACGGAGTCTGGCTGTTAGGTTTTTCTAGGGTAGAAACCTCGAGACAATGAAAGCATGTTTGGGGAGTGGGAGAGTCCCTAGTGTTGAACACCATTTGTCCCTTGAATCAACTCCTGGGTAACTCCAGCTCCCTCTGTCTCTGCCCCAGGATTCAGCACACAACCCCTACCTAGGCCCGCTCCGGGCTCCTGAGCCAGTCTCCTCTTCAGCTTGGATTCATTTGCATTCCATCATCAAGGTTCAACACCTCACCCCTGGAGGCCCAAGCCCTATTTCTGCTGGCTCACAGAGGCCTGAAATGCAAAGGACTGAGCGCTTCCACGCCTCCAGCTCCCCCGTCCCGCACGTGGGTGCCCCCGCGGGGTGGAACAGTTGCAAAGGCTGTGCTTAATTGTATTTCTTCCAATCCTCAAGGAACTCGTGTTTTAAGCCTTTGTATATGAAGCAGGAAGCAGCGGGTCTGATTCTGAGGCTTAAGAGCCTGACAATATCTCTTTAAATAGAAGCTCCGCGAGGGGGATAATTGACTGAAGTGTTTGCGACGTGAAACAGCGGCGCGCGGGAGTCGGGAGCCCACATGAGCCGCAGGTCCGGGTTTAAATTACATCAAACTCTGGCGAGAGCTACAAGGGGGCTATTAAACGGCTCCTTCTTCTCGCTGGGCAGTTAATGGAGCGGATGATGGATGCTGGAGGTCAAGACCCGGGACTCCTGCCTTGGCCCCACCTTGTGGGACGCAGGCCTGGCACAGGTTTATTACTGGGCAGATGAGTGAGTCAGAGGCCCTTTCCAGGGTTGGTCCTTTGTCCCCTGCCGGCTCGCCCCCGCCATCCTGGCTTGTGCTGCCCTAGCCAGGCGGCAGGGTTGGGGGAACGGGGTCCGGTGGAGCGCGTGCGCTAGGACCCTGCGGGAGTGCAAGCGCGCTAGTCTTTGCGCCCGGCCCGCAGGGAGGCGGCAAGTGGGGCTCTTTTGTGAACCGCAAGGGTGGGACTTGACGCCTTTCACCTGCCTGCGGTGGGGGTCTTACCAAGACGTCGATCTATCTGTTCGCCTCTGCAGTACAGAAGGTTTCTCGCCAATAACTCCCAGGGAACTGCCCAGAGTGAGAATGACCGTGCGAGATATTGGGCCTGGCGGTGAGGGGTGGGTGGTCAGGAGTGGGCCTCGTGCAGGTGTCAGGACACCTCTCCAGTCCTTGCACCCCGCTGACCCCATCCGCTGTGCCAAGCAGGCCGGCGCACTGGAGGACGTGATCTCTGGTGCCCCCTGGTGGCAGCGCTGCGCTCTCCCCGCTGCGCCCCGGCCCGGAGCTCAGACACCTGCTTTTCTTTGGAATCACCGCTGTGTACTTCTCCCTCCATGTGCATTTACCGTGGAATCCCCTTCATCTTGTAGAATATTAAATCCGGATACTTGAAGTCACTTCACAGCAGTGAAGTGAGGGACAATGAACAAAAAACTCGCATTGAGAGTAGCAGGAGCCCAGACCCTTCACTAAGGACCCCAAGTGAAATCTTCCAAGTTAAGGCTGCGTGTCCTGAGAGGTACTGCTCTCTTCCGAAAAGGTGGAGCCGCCAACCCTTCCCTTATGATTCTGAACCTTGGGACCTGCTGATTATGCAGTTGTTTTCTTCTGGTATTTGCTTTCTTTTCTGAGGTGTTCTGCCCTCTCCCTCCCCTCTTCTCCCAAAACAAATGTCTCTCCTCAGTCCCCCTGTCTGGGTGGTGGGTGCACAATACCAAGTGCCTGAAAAGCGTGAGGGAGAGGGTCTGGGGTGGGGTGGGGACACTGGACACCCCAAGTGCAAACTGCTGCTTTCTGACCTTTGCTTGCTCATGTACTCGCTGTTCAACTGTGTTTAATTGTAATGACGTTGTTAGTGGTGTAGGAATCCAAGTGTTTTGGCTCAACAGCATGAAGTCTGGGTTGCACATTGTATCAGAGGTGCTATAATCTTTCCAGTATCTCTGATATGTGGCTTTTTGGTTGAATGTCGCCCTGGGCCCTCTTAACTGGATAAACCACCATGAGGGCTCTTCTCTGTGGAGCTGTGGAGAGCTTGGTGGTAGAAAGCGATGTTCCTAAAAACTGCAGCAGCTCTTGCCTGTCTGAATGGAATCGTGTGTCTAACTGCCTTGCTGTCCTTACAGACTCCTTCCTAGGCCCGGCTCCATGCAGACCTTCCACGCTTCACATTTCGCTCCCCTGAACTCACTCCTTTGTCAGCCCCAGGGTGTTGAGGCTGGGTCCTCTCTAGCAATCTCTACCTTCAGAACAGACTTTTCTAAATCGTTTGCTTTTCTAATTCTTGTTGCTTTTGTCATTGTGAAGAGTCACCCAGGACGCTGGCGCTCGGTACCCTGAGGTCGGAACCGGTCTGTGTGTGACCTGTGGGACATACGCACACCCTTTCAGAGTGATATTGTGTGGTGGAAGGACTGTTAGAACTCAAAGAATAGTTAATAAATCCAGTATGATTCCGTTGCGAGAACTGGCCTCTTTGCCTTATCAAGTACTCCTGACTCTCCAAAGGGCTCCCTCTGGAGAGATGGACAGAGCCCTTGCCTCCTGTGGAGGCTCCTGCCTTAGCGAGAGTCTGCCCTGCCCATACCACTGTGCTGGCTCTGGAAGGTAAGTCACAGGTCAGCACCTCAGCTGTGCTGAGCTGGCAGCTGGGCAGCACCAGAGCACCTGTCAGGGTACGAATGCACTGGGGAGTGAAGGAAAGGCTGTGTGGTTGCTCCCGGCTTGCTCCTGAACCCTGGGCAGTGAGGAGATCTCAGGAAGGAAATGTGGGAATCCGTGTGGGAGCTGGAAGTTGCAAGATAATTTCATCCACCTCCCCACCCTCAGGACGAGAGCCCAGGCTGCCTGGTTTCCAGGCACTGCTCCGTTCTTTCTCAACTCTGTGCCATCTCCCTCAGTCCTGAGGAGTGAAACAGGGATGGCTCTCACTGCAAGCAGTTTCAGACCACTTCCTATGGACAGCTTGAGGTCCAGCGTGGTGGCGAGAAGTACGCAGAGGATGGGAGAAGCCAACACGCAGGGTGCTCGCCAGCCACTGTGGCCACCCCCGGCAGACACAGTGCAGGGCCCTCGCTTTTCCCGTGGGCTCTTCTCCCCTGGGAAGAAGCCCCGTCTACTTTTCATCTCCTTCATTCCCAAGGGTCTTTGACTTCCTGTTTCCCTTCCTCTCTGCCCTCCTTTTGGGCCACCAGGGAAGAGTTGGGTGTTCTGCGGGGTGGCAGCTGGAGCGCTCACGTGGGGAGGAAGGGAGGCTACACGAGACTCGCCCACCCCAGGCGCCTCCTCTCCAAGATGGCCAGGCTCCACTCCCAGAGACACAGGACGCCCAGTGGCTTTGAACACTCAAGTTAATTTAAAACAGGCACAAGTGCAACAATTCACAAAAATTTCTAGGGAAGATGCTTTTGTTTTGAAAACTCTGACCTTTAAAAAAAAAGTCCTTGCAATGTCTTTGCCCCCAGGAAGGTCACTAGGGAGCAGAGAATCTAAAAATATTATCTAGATAGAAAGGGTCCAGACACCTGAAGTTCTTTCCCGGCATTTCAGTCTCACAGCAGCCCTGAAGTTGGGGGCGGAGAAGAACAAGGAGACAGCTGTCTGCGGAGGCAGCCGGGGCAGACGGTTTGCACAAATGGGCGCTCCTGACCTTGACTTGACGAAACCCAGAGGCGGTTCACCTTCTCTCCCAGACAGGGTTCTGAAGAGAACAATGGTTCCCCTGATGACCTTGTGATTGAGAAAAACTTGAAAGGTAAAACAGTTACCATTCCTTACATTCCTGTCTCTGCCCTCACACTGCACAGTCCGGGAGAAGCTCAGAAACCTCCTAAGCCCCCAGGATATGCTGGACTCAGTACGGACCACACCGCTGGTCAGGTTGACACAGGACTGGAGAGGTGGAAGCCAGGCCAAGAAAGCAGGCCCCTTCAGGCCAGAACTTAGTGGGAGAGAGGATGGGGCAGCCTTCCTGGAGCTGGCTGTGGGTGACCTGAAGGGGCCTGGGCTGTCAGACACACACACACACGTTCTCTCCATTCTGTAAAGTGAGAGCACCTTCACCACTGACCCCATTCTTTCTCTTTCACTCGGAGGAAACAGGGTTCAGGTCATGAAAACCATTGCTGTGGCCCTCTGGAGACCCGAGGTTTGAAGCTGAAGCTGAGAACAGCAAGTATCTGTGTGGAGACCAGCAGTCTGGCCTCCGCAGTGGCCTAGGACACTAGTGTACAACTACCTTTAAAAAACCACAGCAGCCTTTTCTGCTGTGTGGGCTGCAGGGGCCAGGAATGCTGGCCTCTGCGTTTCTTAGAAATATCCCTGTGCAAATACCAAGGGGTCATCCTGTGGAAGGGGTCTCCACCTGGGGATTTGGGAGGGAGAGACACTAAGGGGGCAGGTCCGGCCTGGCCCAGTAGGCTGAGGAGCAGAGGGTGGGGCTGGGGCTTCACATTTCAATCTTTGGAGAGAATACTGAGAAAACGAGGCAGGCAAACCCTGCTGGCAGGCTGGCTGCCCAGTGTGCCCTGCCTGTGGGCACAGGTGGCAGGTGTACTCAGGGTGGGCTCAGCAGGTGGAGGTCTGCTTGCGGTAGAGCTGGATCAGGGGCACCAGGCACTCGGGCAGCCCTGTCTGCAGCAGGAAGGGGTGGTCTAGGAGCTCCTGGGCTGTGGCTCTCTCTTGGGGGTCCCGTACCAGCATCCGCTCCAGGAAGTCTCGAAGCATGGGAGAGACCTGTGGAGATAGGGCAGTGAGATGGAGCCACAATTTGCAGTCACTTTGGGATGACTTGATTGCCTGGCCCTGTCATTGAAACTCTTGTTTTGTTTTTTTTTTTAACTTCTGTCCCCTTGTCCCTCCCCAACCCCCAAGGCTCTCAGCATTCAGATGCTGTAGCTCTGTCTGGAAGGGGCAGAGAATTCACCTCAGTCATCCAGGCCTGACTCTATCCCTGATCTCAGGCAAGTCACAGTTTTCTCTAGGCCTCACTTTTCTCAACTGTAAAATGGGCTAGTGATAAAGTATGCTTGCCCTGTCTGCCACATAGGGCTTTAAAGAAGATTTTAAAAACAGGTCAAGGATGAGGAAGGACGTGTTCCTCTAGGCCAGGCATCCCCAAACTTTTTACACAGGGGGCCAGTTCACTGTCCCTCAGACCGTTGGAGGGCTGCCATATACTGTGCTCCTCTCACTGACCACCAATGAGAGAGGTGCCTCTTCCTGAAGTGCGGCGGGGGGCTGGATAAATGGCCTCAGGGGGCCGCATGCAGCCCGCGGGCCGTAGCTTGGGGACGCCTGCTCTAGGTCTTAAAGTCTAAGGCAAGGGCTTATCTTGGTTCATTTTGAGCCAGTATCTTGGGATGAGGCTCATCCTCTGGGGAATTAGCCAACTGGGGATCTCTGTATGCTAATTTTGGGGTTAGTGGTGCAGGCTTCAAGGACCAGTTGTCCTGGAAGATGTTTCCTGTTGGTCCTCCCATCCAGCTGTGTGCTGGGGCCACAGAACTTTTGAGGTTTCAACCCTCTGAGACATTTCTTGCTTTGGCCACCAGATGGCAGTGCCACCTAGCAGCCCTGTGCTGACCGGCCAGCAGGGGGCGTCCACAGTAAGGCCTGCGAGGTTGGGGGGGATTTGGCAAAAAAGGTTACATGTATACATATCCATGTATGAGTATACTGACTTTAAGGGGAACGCTGTGGCTCAGCTGTGTCGGCGTATGCAGCGATGGAGCATGAGCTGACTTGCCGTGATGGACAGGGACGTCGCATCATGGTATGGATCTCCCAACACGTGGGGTGGAGGGGTTTGTGCTCAGTGAAGCTTCTCCGGATTCCTCCCGGGACAGCAGGGACTGCTGGTGTCCTGGCTTTCCCTGCTCATGGGCATCCCTGGGCTTCCGACCAGTGCCTGCGGAGCAGCGACCCTCCTGCCGCCGCCATGGGAGACTTGCTGGAGTGCACATGAGAGTTTATGCGGAGATGCGGCTCCACACCCAGGTGCGGGTTTTGTGTGGAGAAAGAGGAGCCTTTTCCAGGAGCCCAGACCCTGTGGCTTCTGTGGAAGGGAGAGGCTGGGAGTCCAGGATTTGGTCCTCTAGCCTCAGGAGGAATGGGGCCTGTGAGGTCACACCCTTGTGCACCAACTGACCTTGTGAGAGTTTTTCAGCTTGGGCGGGGGGCAGTCCCGGAGCCTCTTCATGGCTTGCACTGGGGAGTCGCTGAAGTAGGGTGGCTCCCCATCCACCATCTCAATCACCATGATGCCCAGAGACCAGATATCCACCTGCGGGAGGAAAATGTCCCTGACTCCATGGGCAGACCCTGGTCCCTTGGTGGCCATGTTCTGGTGGCAGCAGGGGGGAGGACAGGGGACAGTGGCCCTAGTTCTCCTCAGTGATTCTGACTCCCTCCTCCCCTCGTCACCTGCCCTGTGGCCAGTTCCTTCCTGCATGAGTGACCACTGCCTATAGGGGTACAGCTGTCAGTCACTCAGAGAAAGGCCATCATCCATGGGAGGGCTGGCTATGCCCCATTCTGCCCTTGAGCTGAGGAAAGCACTTGCAGGACTTGTTCCTGGCAGCACAGTCATGGGTGAGAACAGCCCCACGGCAGGGGGGAGGGTGTTGACCTGGTGGGACTCTGAGGGCCAGGGCTGCTTTTGGCGAGGTCACTGGAGGGGCCACAGTGGAAGAGCTGCCAGTGCTTTTGGGAGGCCGGGGGTGGGGGAGGGGAGGGAACCACTTACCTCAGTGGCATACAAAGACCTGGAGATCACTTCAGGAGCCATCCAGTAGGGGGTTCCCACCAGGGACTTCCTCTTAGGGACGTCTTTGCTGATCTGAGCACAGAATCCGAAGTCCGAGAGCTTCACCTGGGGTTGGAAGGGGAGTGAGTGGTGACCAGGTGGAGGGAAGTGGGGGCGTGGCTGTGCCTGGGACAGGATGGGACCTACCCTGCCATCGAGGGTCAGCAGGATGGAGTCGCTCTTGATGTCCCGGTGGATGACGCCCTGGGCATGCAGGTAGGCCAGGGCCTGCAGCACAGCCTCACATACAGTGGCGATCTGCTCTTCATTCAGCCTGGACAAAAAGGTGGGGCCGCCCGGAGGAAGAGATCGTTAGCTCTGGCAGGTCGTGGGGTGGCTGGGCAGAGCAGGAGTCCCTGGAGCTGGGCCCCACGGCTCCCAGGCAGTCTGTTTGGCAGCACAGCCAGGCCATAGCCCTGGTGAAAACTGGGGCCTGAGCCTTGGCTGGAAGCCTGGAAGCCACCCTTTCTCTTTTCCATTGCCAAGACTCCTGGGTCTCAGTTACCCCAACAGGCAGGGGAGCCCAGGATGACCTGACAGGCATCCCAAGTCTTTTGGGCTACAGGCAGAAGACCACATTGCCCTGGCAGGCCCATGGTGAAGGCAGCCTGCACTCAGGGCCCAGCCCTCCCAGCTGCCCACCTGACTTGGGAGACGATGTCTGTGAGGGCTCCTCCCTGCAGGAACTCCATGAGCACCCACAGCTCCTCGCCCACCAGGTAGCTCTTGTACATCTCCACCACGTTGACGTGCTGGTAGTCCCGCATGATCACCACCTGGGGGCAGGCGGGGGCTGAGTGCTGGGCACAGTGCCCAGATGCGTGGTTACCCGCTGCCCCTGCTCACAGATGTCCAGCTTGGCTGGCTGCTCACTGCCCATCCCAAACGGCCCTGCCCGTGTCCCGTCCTATCCTCCCACCTCGTTGAAGAGCAGCTCCCTGCGCTGCTGCTTCCTGAGGTCCATCATCTTGACGGCCACCTGACGGCCCGAGTGCTTCTCCCGGGCCAAGCAGACGATGCCGGTGGAGCCCTCGCCAATCTTCACGTAGCTGTCCAGCAGCAGCCGGGGGTCGCCCTGGTCCACCACCATCCTGAGCGCTGCCTTGAACTGCTCATGCGTCACAACACCTGTGTCCTCACCAGCCAGGGTGCCCTTGGCGACAGTGGGGTCCTGGGGCAGGTACAGGTTGCTGGTGCTGATCTGGGCGTGCCGGGTACGGGGGGAACCCGCTGGGGAAGACCGGCCTGGAAGTGGGCCTGTGGCTGGGGCTGTGCGGAGGGACTTCTGGGGGCTGCTGGTATCCGAAGTGGTGAGAGGGCTGAAGGTCCCCACCGGCTGATCCGAGGGCAAGGACTGGGCCTTGGCCACCAGGCTTGGGGGGGTTTCTTTCTGCAGCGGTCGGAAAGACGAGTTGGGCTGCAGGGACAAAGCAACAGGAAGGGGCATGGCTGTAGGATCACTTGGAGTAACTTCCCAGAGGCAGAGGCTGGCGTCTGTGATCTCTGGGCTCTGGCAGGGTTAGGCAGGGTGTCAGACCAAATTAGGGAGGTGCTGTGAGCAAAGATTTTCAGACAGAGCCGAAGCCCAGCCATAGTCCTAGTCCTGTGTGAGCAGCCCAACCCAGTCTGCCAAGCTGAGCAGGCCCAAGACAGCTCCTTACACCTGCTCTGGGGCACCTGGGAAGACAGAGAAGGCCAAGTCCCCACGGGGTCTTGTGCTGGGTATTTCTTCCTGGGCTATTGACAGCTAGACTGCAGGGAGGCTGCCGTGAGGCAGAATCTTCCTCTGTGCTATGGGGCCGCTTGGAGCATCTGGATCAGAGGCATTCTTCACTGCCAAGGCTCGCCCCCAGGACCCATGGGGGCAGAAGAGGCCCAGGCAGTGGGGTGGGGAGCAGTGGGCAGCAGTGGGCAACTGTGTCTCCACTCCCCGAGCCAAGGCAAGGGAGCCACATCTGGGGCCCGGAAGCCCTGCTTGTGCCTGCAGCAGGGAGTCTGCGAGCCTGTGCTGGGAGATTATGTCCCTGACAGGACCACAGAGCTATGTCACCATCTGGGGGGTTCTCAGGTGTCTTCCCTGGCCGGGAATCTGGTGCCAGAGAGATCTGGAGTCAGTCCAGCCAAACCCAAGACTTGAGGCCAGGGATGGGAGGTGTCTTAAGGACCCCTAAAGGAATCCTTCCACTTCCTTCCTGGCATGAAACTCCTGGTTGAGGACCCAGGAGGAGAAGGTAGAGGGCCTAGCCTCATGCAGTCTGGCGGGGGAGGAGGAAAAGCGGAGCTGAGGGGCAGCCTGGGTCCCCAGTGAGCCCTGCTCAGGCCCAGCCCTGGAAGCCTATGAGGCTTCTCTCTTTTCCAAGCCCAAGCCCTCCTGCTCTCCTGGCAGGAAAGGTGCCCTCCCATCTTTGGGTTCTCCCAAGGAGTGGTGACAGGCACCATGACCCCTGCCAGGCATTATGTACTTTTATTAAAATGAGACAGAGTCTTGCTCTGTCACCAAACTGAAGTGCAGTGCCGTGATCTCAGCTCACTGCAACCCCCACCTTCCGGGTTCAAGCGATTCTCCTGCCTCAGACTCCCGAGTAGCTGGGATTACAGGTGTGCGCCACCATACACGGCTAATTTTTTGTATTTTTAGTAGAGTCGGCGTTTCACCATGTTGGCCAGGATGATCCTGATCTCTTGACCTCATGATCCACCTGCCTTGGCCTCCCAAAGTGCTGGGATTATAGGCATGAACTACTGCACCCAGCCGCATTATGTATTTTTAAAGAGCACCCACCTAGAGAGGGATGCTTTAGGGGCTGCAGAGAAAGCCTTCTAGGAACTTCTCCAAACCTATCATGTAAGCAACTGTCTTAGGTGCCCGGTGGGTCCTGGTCCTGATCCCAGAGCTGAAACAACTTATAGGAAATCTTAAGCAGTAAGCTTGGGCTGGGATGCTTGCTCAGGGACCCCAAACCCCAAATCTGGGCCTTGGGTCCCATCAGTCTTTTAAATGTCTTTAGCAACCCCTGACCACCCCCGCCATGGCCTCAGGGCTTCCACTCTCCAGCCAAGTCCCTGGTCTGCTTAGGGTGGAACAGGTACTCCTGCTAGAGAGCCATGCTTGACCTTCACAGGGAAGAAGCTAGAAAACCTCCCAGGACTGCCTGGACTCACTCCATTCTCTGGTGACTGCAAGTGGACAGTAAACATTCTCCCATGTCCTCGCCAGCACCTGACTGTCACCATCCACTGTGTAGAGGAGCAGTGAGACCTCTGGACTGGGTTGTGAGGACCTGGGACCCAGCCCTAGGCTTCTCTGCCCTGTGATGAGCCCCAGTCTCCGCTACGACGCAGGGGCATGCGCAGTGATCTGGGGAGCTGGATAAACTGCAGAGCTTGGTTCCGTGGGACCCTGGAGCAGACATCCTGCATTTGAACAAGGTCCCTGGGTCCTAGGAGGCCCCTGGAACATACTTTGAGAAGCTCTGCATGAGTGGGCAGTGTGCTGTGAGGGGTGGAGGGAGCAGAGCTGTGACTGAGGCTGAGATGCCAGGTCCTAGGAGCAGAGGTTCACTGCATCACACAGTCACCCTGCAGAAGGGCTCAGGGCGTTACGGAGGCTGCCTGCGGGCCTGAGTGCGGACTTAGAAAACATGTTCTCCAGCTGCCCATCCGTGAGGGTTGAGGCAGAAGCTTGGGGACCACCTGAAGCTCCTCTTGAGGTGGCTCTAACGACCTCTCTCATGCTGACGCTCCTAAGAAAGGCTGTGAAACCGTCTCCTTCCCTTCCCGGCCTCTAGGGCTTCGGCATGGGCCAGCTTCACTCTGAGGATGTGTGGGCGTCGGGGCAGGAGCCACATGGACAGGCCGAGGTGGGGGTTCCTTCCCTGTCTCCACAGGCCAGGTCCCTATGCTGCTGCTGAGCTGCAGGTGCTGGCTGTGCTCAGGGCGGAGCCTGCAACTGGAGGCTGGGGGAGGGGTGGCCCAGCCAGGAGCCCAGCATGGGCAGAGTCTGGGACACAGGCCAGGGAGTCTGCGGAGCTGGCTTGGTCTTCAGTCTGGCAAGGTCTGGTCCCCAGTGCCCTTTCGTTGGCTTCACTGCCTGTCTCCACAGGGAGGGACTTTTACTGAATGTAATCACAAGCAAGGACCAGATGAAACTTGGGAAGCCACACAAGAAAGGGAAAGAGGGACATGACAATGGAATTAATTAATTGTTAGGGCTCTGGATTAATTCTGAAGTTACTCATGTGACAGACCTCTTGGGAAGGAGGCTGCTAGAAGAGGCAGGCATATGTTTATAGCAGTGCCTCACTGCCCGCCCTGAGCCAGCTCTCCAGCTGTGGGCTTAGGGAGCTGTACCGTAAGTATCCTAAAGGGGAGAGGCCGTGGCATAATATTTTTAAAAATAACAAAGGCGTCCTGGCACAGTGGCTCACACCTGTAATCCCAGCAACTTTGGGAGGCCGAGGTGGGCGGATCACTTGAGGTCAGGAGTTTGAGACCAGCTTGGCCAACATGGTGAAACCCCATCTTTTCTAAAAATACCAAAATTAGCTGAGTGTGGTGGAGTGAGCTTGCAGTCCCAGCTACTTGGGAGGCGGAGGTGGGAGTATCACTTGAACCCAGGAGGTAGAGGTTGCAGTGAGCTGAGATTGTGCCACTGCACTCCAGCCTGGGCGACAGAGGGAGATGCTGTCTCAAATAATAAAGCCATTTATTGAGGGCTTACCACTTAGACAAGTGCCTTCAGTGCACTCTCTCGTGTAATCCTCATTCCCCTGCGGGTTGTTTTATTATCCCGCAGGCACTGGAACCCACAGGACGCCCATGGCTGCTGACTCCCATGCTGTAATCCTACTGATACTGTGTATCCTTGGCATAAATTGGAGTACACAGTAGGTGCTTAACCAGTGTTTGCCCTCTGACTCTTAAGTGGAACATGTCTAAACCCCCAAGCTCCTAACAAACTGTCTTGCCTCTTTGGCCTCTGTGCCCCCACGCCCTGTCTTCTCGTGCTCTTTAGCCAGAGTGACTCCAGGCTGCACTGCCTGAAGCTAAGTCCAGAAGCCCTGGGGTCTATACTCAGACCCTCCTGCAGTCATGCCTGGCACACTTTGTGGCCCCTGTGGCCTGACTGCTGTTAAGAAAGCTGTTGCAAGTGTTCAGAGTCAGCCCCGGTGCCAAGGGCTGCTGGCTTGGTCTGGGGGCTCCTGAAATAGGTAGTGGAGGAGGAGGAGGAGGAAGGCTGATGCCCCCATCTGTGTGGGAACTTGCTGAAGGCAACGGTTCTCAATGGGGGTGCTCAAGTGACATCTGGCAATGTCCAGAGGCACTTTTTGTTATTCCAACCGGGGGTACCACCAGCTTCTAGTGAGTAGAGGCCAGGGAGGCTAGTACAGTGCAAGCGGAGCCTGCCACAAAGGATGGCCTGACCTGAACATCAGCGGCAGGGGCTGAGAAACCCCGGCACAGAGCAGCTCAGGGGGTCTTAGCCTTGCCTTTAAGACGCCTGGCTTCAAAGCAGAAATCTCGAAAGGTATGTCTGAGTTGCCCAGAGGGAAGCCGCTCCCCTGGATTTGGAAGTATGGTATTGTCGAGCTTGGGATAACTACCACCTGCTCCCACAGGTATGGGGGACACTCCAGCACATGCAGAGCAGTGGCCCATGGCGAGTGCTCAGCACATTGTGCAGGGAGGGACAGTCTCCTCACCCTGCTGTGGGGTGCTGACAGGAGCCAGGAAGATGCAAATGAGTGCCCAGGCCAGTGCTGACAACCATTTTTCCAAATCCCTGAGGTTCCCCCAGCAGGACTCCTGAGAGACAGGGGAGGCCAGGCTCCCATTCTCACCTTCCCAGCAGGGTGCACTGCCCTGATCTCACTTTATTTTCTGGCTGAGTCTCTCCAGGGGCACAGCCTTCCAGAGACCCTGCAGCTCACAAATTCTCTTGTTCCTCTCACAGATACACCATGCCACACCCCATGGGAATCCCAACCCACTGTCCTTTGACCTAGTAGGGGACAGGAGTGCACAAAGCCCAGAACTTTCTCTGAGTACCTCAGCTGGCTGGCAGTGACCCAGAAAGGCTGTAGTCTAGGCCATCCCCAAACCCACACCCTGGGCAGGCTGGGCCACACTCACCCCATCGCTGACAGGGGAGGACCCAGGCTTGTCTTAAAGCCCTCCCAGGAGGGAGGGGAGGATCCATCACCCATGCCACTGTCAGCAGGCGTTTATTTGGAAGGAGGTAAGGAACAAGTGGCTGCCGCAGTTGTAAAGCTTCATGCACAAGAGCCATGAGCCAAGAGGGCTGGGCTGGACGGGCAGCCCCAGAGCACCCCCACCTTCCTTCTCTGACTCACTCTCCACGCCTGGGAGTGTCTCACCCTCTGTCAGTTTCCTCTTCTGCCAAATGGGAAAGGAGGTTACTGTCACTACGGACAGGATGCTGGAGGGCCTGCAGGAAGCAAAAACGTGCTCTACTCTGCCTGCCAAGAAATGTCACCATGGGCTCCCTTCACCCTTTCCTTTCTCACAAGAAAAATATGCGTCTGAAGCAGTCACACATGCCACAGGTCGGCCCTCCTCCTGCCTCTCGTCCTGGCAAATACAGTCCTCCAGCGTTTCCTACGGCCACACGAATAATGACAGAAATGTGAAACAACACTATTGCCACAGAGAAAAGAAGGAAAGGAAGGGAGGGACGGAGAGAGGGAGGAGGCAGGCCGGCCTCCTCAGAGAAGAGGTTACCATGCACATTTCTGCTGCTGTAGGGGGAAGCAGTCCGGGGCGCCTCTGGGGCAGGCCAGGCAGGGCCTGTGTCCTGCACCCACTCCCCAGTGGACGCCCGCAGGCCCGGCTCCTGACTTACCTTGCTCTGTGGTGGAGGGCCTGGCTTGCTGCTGCTTGGAGGGGCTGTGGCAGCAGTGGACAGGAACATGCTTCGGAATAGCCTGCGCTTCAGGCTGCTCTCCTGGGTCTTAGGGCTAGGGCTGCCTTCCCCACCTGGCCTGCTCGTGGCTGAGCCCACCAAGCAGGACTGTGGCCGGGCCTCCTCAGAGCCATGCTTGGCAGCCTTCATTCCATGCCTACTGGTGGCTGTGGGGGGCGAGGCTCCTGGTGGGGAGCTCTGCAGGCAGGCACCCAGCTGCAGACAGCGCTGCGAAGCGCCCTGGAACTCAGCGGGTCCCAGAGACTGAGCCTTTGCAGCCAGCCCATTGGAAAGGACCCGTGGGCTCTGTGGCTCGGGCCGTGGCATCTGCTGGTGGCCTGCTGGTGTGCCCCCGTTGCAGCTGAGGTAGAGGCCATGGGGGTCAGTGCGCTCAGATTGAGGGCTCTGGAGGTACATGTCTGGATCGGTGGCCCAGTGCTCATCCCCCAGCAGCCCCAGGGACTGTGCCCGCCGCCGGCTGGTGGGGCTGCGGCCACGCAGGGTGTTGGAGCTGATGACTGACAGCTTCTGGATGTCATTGAGCAGTCCCGAGATGTAGCCGTCCACAGGCACCGCGTTGCCGCGCACCACTGTCTGTAGGGGACAACAAGAGAGAGTGTAGGAGCTGCCTGATTGCGGCAGGAAGGGGCGGCCGGGAGATCAGGGTCAGAGAATGTTCTCGGCGGCCCTGGGGAGGACCACCTAAGGATCTCCCCTGCTGTGTCATCCACCCCTTCATTTTTCCATAATTTCTCAGGGCCCACAGTGGGTCCCACCTGTGCTGGGTGCAGGGATGCAGGAAGGCCCACCATCAGGACAGCAGACGGCGCGTGCCATGGGGCTGCATCCAGCATGCCCAGGGTATGGTCGGCTGGGCCTGGGTGCTGGAGCTCAGAGGGGGGCTCCCTTCTGTAGCTCCACGGGTGGCTGGGAGGGATGTGTCCAGCCCTCTGAGGAGGCAGAGACCAGGCCAGGGGCTCCTTCACACACTGGCTTCACGGCCTCCAAACCCTCATAGGGCCCCTGACCCCAACTTCTACCAGACTCTTGGGTTTACTAGTCCTGATCCTCACAACTAAAATTCTCCTGGTCTGGGAGAGCCTTCAGTCCCCCATGGAGCTGCAGGTGCAAGAACTGAATGGGGCAAGTCCTAAAACACTATTCATTCTCATCTGAAATACAAATGCAGTTGAGCATCTTTATTTTTTGAGATGGAGTCTTGCTCTGTTGCCCAGGCTGGAGTGCAGTGGCGTGATCTCGGCTCACTGCAACCTTCACCTCCCGGTTCAAGCAATTCTCCTGCCTCAGCCTCCTAAGTAGCTGGGATTACAGGTGCGTGCCACCACGCCTGGCTAATTTTTATATTTTAGCGAGTAGAGATGGGATTTCACCATGTTGGTCAGGCTTGTCTTGAATTCCTGACCTCGTATTCCTCCCACCTCAGCCTTCCAAAGTGCTGGGATTACAGGCATGAGCCACTGCACCAGGCCACAGTTGAGCATCTTGTATTTTCATGTGCTGAATTTGGCAACCCTAGCACCCTGCAGAGAGGCTCTCCCCAGATTCCTTCACCCTGGCTTACCCAGGGAGAGAATGCCAGGCTGACAGGCAGGGAGTGAAAGCGACTGGTTAATGGATAGCTGTGAAGTAGGTGGTTCCTCCAGGGGCTTGTCTGAGGCTTAGCCAGGTATGGTTGTCTGTGTGCTGGGAGAGGCTGAACTTGACCCCCATCCCTGCCTGCCCTGCTTACCTTCATGGGTTGGAGCTGCACCCGCGTGATTCGCGAAGGGTCCACCACAGGCTTGGGGCGCCGCAGTGTGTCCAGAATGTTCTGCCATTGTGGGGGGAGGCCCACAAACTTGCCTTCTTTGGGGTCGAAGGAGGTGTGGACACGGTGCTGGAAGTTCTGTGGGGCTGAGATCTCAGGGCGTTTCTTCTTTTTCTTGCGGAACATGGTGCCTGTAAGGGCAGGGTCAAGTTGAGCTCCTGCTTGGGAACCACGGGTGGCCGGGTGGCCGCAGCAGGGGCTAGGGAACCAGGCTCAGGGCTCCCTCCCCTCCCGCAGCACATCTCCTCCTTGCCCAGCCTAGGGCTTCCCTCCACTCCATCCCCACTTCCTCAGGGAAATGGCTGGCTCCCAGCAGAACAGTCCCAGAAACAACAAAAGCACCATAAATAAGCCAGTGCAGACTATCCATAAGGAAAGCGGTATCTTCTTGTCTGTGCCAAGTCCCCCGAGGAGCAGGCAGACTCTGGGGGTGTGTTTTTATAAAATCCAAAGCCCATTACAAATATCACTCCACTGTCAACGAATTTTAAAAAAGGGGAAGGAGGGAGGAAAGCAAGCAAACTTGTTTTATGAAACGAGTATGACCTTGATTCTTAAAACCAGGTAAGGAGAGTACAAGAAAAGGAAACTTTGACCCTAATCCCACTTAGGAACATAACTGTGAAAATCTTAAACAAAACTATCACATTGAATCCAACAGTAGATTAGGTTTTTTGTTTCTCATTACAACTCAGGTTTGTCCTAGGATGGCGGAACCTGATGACGGATTAATACAAAGCCAACCAGCTGATCACCGACATGCTGCCCAGTCTGCAGCCATGTATCGGGGGGCCCCTAAAGGGCCTTTGGTTACCAGGTGCTTTACCTCAATTCCAGAAAGGCCCTGAGCCAAGAGGATATCCTGGGGTGGGTGGGGGGCAGCTATCTTAGGAGTGAAGCTCTCCACAGAAGGCAGAGAGCACCACTTCCCCTTGGGACTCTTCTCTTTGGTCTTGGAGCTCTATGTAAAACATCACCTGGGTGAGGCGTGGTGGTTCATGCCTGTAATTCCAGCACTCTGGGAGGCCGAGGCGGGTGGATCGCCTGAGGTCAGGAGTTTGAGATCAGCCTGGCCAACATGGTGAAAACCTGTCTCTACCAAAAACATAAAAAAATTAGCCAGAATTAGCCAGGCATGGTAAGTGCGTGCCTGTAGTCTTGGATACTTGTGGGGTTAAGGGAGGAGAATGACTTGAACACAGGAGGCTGAGGCTGCAATTAGCCGAGATCGTGCCACTGCACTTTAGCTTGGGTGACAGAGTGAGACTCTGTCTCAAAGAAAAATGAAACAAACAAACAAACAAACAAACAAACAAACAAAAAAACACCAAAAAAGACCATGACCTGCAATCAAGCCTGTATCCTCTGCCTTGCTGATTCTGGCTTTGCCTAATGTCGTGCTGAGCTCCATCCACAGAATTGACACAGGCTTGCAATGGATAGCATGGCTAGATCTGAGAAGGAGACACTGGGAACCTGGGAAGGGAAGGGACACTTCCAAAGGGCTGTTCCAGTTTCATTTTCTGGGGAGCCCGGGGCCTGGGATCACAGGTTGACGGCAGACAGGGCCAGGGCTGCCGCTTGAATGCTTTTGAATCTGAAGAGGCTCAAAACAGCTCACTGGGTTCTTATGTCACCAGAAAAGGTCACTTCCAGGCTTCAATAAACAAATTGAAACATGATTCTTGGATTGAACGCTTGGACTACTCATCCACCTGAAGATCGGGAGTACAGGGCCATCATGGTCTCTCTTGGCTCCTGCTCTAGAAAGCATTTTTCTAGGCATTTTGGCAGGTTCTGAAGGAGGTCAGAGAACCGGGAGGCAGCTGGCAGAAAGGCAGGGTCCCTGGACGGCCAGTGGTTCCCCACTGGGAGTTCTCCATGCATGACTCCATCTGCACCCATGCCGCATCTCAGTATCGGCCATGCTTCTGTGCCTTCAGCTTTGGGAGTCCACCAAACACTACCTAGGGGCAGAGCCATGTGTGTGCGACCCTTACAGATCAAGCACTTTGGAATAAAATAACTGGTGTGAGTTGTAGGTGACTTTCAGGGAGTCTCCCACTAATTCGGAGAGACTTTGAACAAGTTACCGAAATGATCCGAGCCAGTGGGGCTAATGAAAGATAGCTTATAGGGTTTCTGGTGTGTGAAGTAAGCAGAGTCCCCACACATGATGGCTGTTTCTCTCGTGATGGCACCTTTCTGCATCTCTGTCTTGAAGCTCAGGCCCTCCAGACACTGGCACTTGGTCAGATACAAGTCTGGGAATAACACTAAACCACTTTCTGCTCAGACTTACCAGTCAAAGGGTCATGCCAGCTTTCAGGGGTCTGGGACCTGGGGACCTTGCCATATCTATATCATGGCTTGGTAAAATTTGTCGTCCTCCCTCTTGGCCTTTGCCTTTTTTTTTTTTGAGATGGAGTCTTGCCACCCCGTTGCCCAGGCTGGAGTGTATTGGCACCATCTCGGCTCACTGCAACCTCCACCTCCCGGGTTTAAATGATTCTCTTGCCTCAGCCTCCTGAGTAGCTGGGATTACAGGTGCCCACCACCATACCTGGCTAATTTTTTTTTTTTTTAGATAGAGTCTCACTTTGTTGCCCAGGCTGGAGTGTAGTGGCATGATCATGGCTTACTGCAACCTCTGCCTCCTGGGTTCAAGCAGTTCTCTGCCTCAGCCTCCCAAGTAGCTGAGATTACAGGCGCCCACCACCACACCCGACTACTTTTTGTATTTTTAGTAGAGACAGGGTTTTACCATCTTTACCAGGCTGGTCTCAAACTCCTGACCTCAAATGATCCACCTCAGCCTCTCAAAGTGCTGGGATTATGGCCTTTGCCTTCTGCTACAGAAGAATCTTTATTCAGCAGGTCTACTCCCCCCGCCCCCTGCCCCCAGTCTCTTGGACATACTCTCTATCCCTGGATAAGTTGAGCTGCCTGTTTCACCCTCCTCCCTAGCTCTGTGAAGTCGTCTTGAGGTGCAGGGACATAGAATGCAGCTGAAGAAGAGCTGGCTGATCTCCCCAACATAGAACACCCCTCTCTCCAACTCCCCTGCCCCAGCCAAGTGCTCAGCTTTTGCTGCAGGGATGCCCAGGGACAGCATCTTGAGGAAATGGTCCCACTGACTCTGGGTTCCTCTCCTGAGTCCACTCTAACAGCGAGCCATTCCAGAACAAGTTCTTCCTAGAGGCAGCAGGGAGGCCAGAGGAGAAAGAAGGGCTCCCAAGGCTGTCCTGGGGCCAGGTGGGGTGGTGGTGAGGGTGGGAGTTGGCAGAGGCAATCAGTTGAGCTTAGGCTTGGGGGAGGCAGGGTGGGGGGGGCTAGGGAGTAGCCCTTTAGAAACCAGAAGTCACCATTTAGCCCTGCAAAATCAACCACCTAAAGGGAGGCTGCTCGGACTCATCTGAAATGTGGTGAGGCCGACACTTCGTGGGGCAGCTTGACTGTGTAAATAGAAAATGCAGGAGAATCCACGTAAAACTACTGGGGAGTGAATTTAAAAGGTCCCTGATTCAAGGTTAACCTTTTTAAAAATCAGCTGGATTTCTACATACCAGTAACAACATGAGGTTTTTAAAAAGATGCCATTTTACATTAAAAATACAAAATATAGGCCGGGCGCGGTGGCTCAAGCCTGTAATCCCAGCACTTTGGGAGGCCGAGGCGGGTGGATCACGAGGTCAAGAGATCGAGCCTATCCTGGTCAACATGGTGAAACCCCGTCTCTACTAAAAATACAGAAAATTAGTTGGGCATGGTGGCGCGTGCCTGTAATCCCAGCTACTCGGGAGGCTGAGGCAGGAGAATTGCCTGAACCTGGGAGTCGGAGGCTGTGGCGAGCTAAGATCGCGCCATTGCACTCCAGTTTGGGTAACAAGAGCGAAACTCTGTCTCAAAAAAAAAAAAAAAAAAAAAAAGAGGAAAATAAAATACAAAATACATAAAAAAAAATACAAAATATCTAGAATCTAATGAAAAGTTATACAGAGTCCTTATATTGGAAAATACAAAACATTAATAAAAATATTAAAGAATGTTCATCAATTAGAAGGTCAATACTGTAAAGATGTCAATTATTCCCAAGTTAACCTGCAGATTTACTTCCGTCTCACACAGAATCTCGGCATACTTCCTTTGGTAGAAATTGATAAACTGATTCTAAAATTCATAGAGAAACAGAACCAGGAATAGCCAAGACAATCAACGAACAAAGTTGGAGGATTATACTAAATAGATATCAAGATTTATTATAAAGCTACAATAATTTAGTATGGAATTGGCGAAAAGATTGACAAATGAACCAATGGAACAGAAGAGAGAATCCAAAAATAGACCCACTCTTATGAGGTCATTTGATGGATGACAAAGGTGACCCTGGAACATGCTGGGGGAATGGATGATCTTTTTAATAAATGTAGCTGAAGTAATTCAGTATCTGCATGGAAAAAAATGAACCGGGAAGAATGAGCTCATCTCATACCCCAAAATTATGCAGACAGATCGTAGACCTCAATCTGAAAGGTAAAATAATAAAGTAGGTGGGAGTGATGACGCGGACCTGTAGCCTGGCTGTCCCTCCCCTCAGGTCCAGTGTGGTCATTACGAGGGCCCCCAGCTTGGTGGACGCTCCTGGAGCCCATGACCTGCTGGGGCCTAACCCTGTCCACACTCGGGTGCCAGACACAAACTAAACCATCAAGGTTTTCTTTGCCCAAAGTAGAATTCTTGATGATATAGATTAGGGGTAAGGGATTAGCTTTAAAGATTTTGCCAGCCGGGCGCGGTGGCTCAAGCCTGTAATCCCAGCACTTTGGGAGGCCGAGGCGGGTGGATCACGAGGTCAAGAGATCGAGACCATCCTGGTCAACATGGTGAAACCCCGTCTCTACTAAAAATACAAAAAATCAGCTGGGCATGGTGGCGCATGCCTGTAATCCCAGCTACTCAGGAGGCTGAGGCAGGAGAATTGCCTGAACCCAGGAGGCGGAGGTTGCGGTGAGCCAAGATCGCGCCATTGCACGCCAGCCTGGGTAACAAGAGCGAAACTCCGTCTCAAAAAAAAAAAAAAAAAAAAAAAAAAAGATTTTGCCTATGGTTAATTTGTCAATGCAGTATAAAC